GCTTCAAAATTTTTTTAAGAGACTCAATATCGCCGTGTCGTTTAGAGCAGGCCATGTCCTCTAAAACTGACCATACTTTGAAGTCTAAAGGGTTGAGGTCCGGGCTAGATGAGGGTCAGTCTACAGCTCTTCATAATATAATGTCTGGAATGTCGATTTCAAGCCAGGCTTGGGTAGTTCATGACTTGTGACCAGGTGCATAAACCTGCTGGAAAGTCCACGGTAAATTTTCAAAAAGTGTATTGCTGAGAGGTTTCACAACATGATCCAAGACTGTATATACTTTGCCTGAAGTTTTCACTCTTTTTCACAAAAATGTAGTTTTATGACTCCTTGATAAGAGACGCCCTACCAACCATCACTGATGATGACCACGTTGTACCTTTCCGACCACTTGAGCAGCTGCTTTAGAACAGTGAGCGTACACTTTATCATTTTGCTTATTATAGTGTTCTTCAATCGTGAAAATTGGTAAAGAGGATATTTTATTTTATTTATTTTTCGTGGTATTTATTAGAAGTCATGTTTTTTTTATTATAAAGTCAGTTAAGTTATTTTCTACGTGCTTACGAGTTTTTGTTTACTGCAGTTAACGTCATCTATAGACTAAAATGGCCGACAGCGTTTTTGTATGTCCATGAAAAATCTATTTTAAAATTAAAGATTTGTAGCTTTTTAGTATTCAAAAAAATACAATACATTTTTTTTTCGGTCTCATAGAACATTTATTAACCATTTAAAACCTTTTTTGAAAAAGGATCAACTAACCTATTCTTTCATACATGGTACATGTCCCGTAAATATAAGTTATTTACGGGACTGTTACCATGTACCTAATAGATAGAGATACATGGTAACGATCCCGTAAATAACTTACATTACTATAATGTTAGTGACCATGAAATTTTAAAACAATAAATTCCGTCATACATGAATTTTGTGTTAACTTTAACCGTTTCCGCACTAGCGCATGCAACGGAAGCACGATTTTTTCCGTTTTTGCAATGTATTTCATTGATCTTTATTGGCTGCACTTACTGTTCTTAGCGTAATGCTATATGGATTATCTAACACATTTCTTTTTAATTCGTAACAGTAGTTCCGGAGATTAACGCGTTAATCCGAACAAATAAACAATCGAACTCATCGGCTTTTTAATGTTAAGTACGTGAGACACTCAGAAAGTTTTGGGAAACTAAAAAACTAACTTCTATGAAAAAAATGTTTTAATTAAATCTTTTCAAAAAAAAACTCTCCAACAGTCTCTATACAAAGTTTCTTGCGTCCCAAACCAATTTTCAAATCATTTTTTCCAGTCCTCCGCAAACACCTCTTCCACGGTCTTCTCTAACGCTGCTAGCGATTCTTCCGGCGATGAATACTGTATCCCCAAGAGCTGATTTTTTATTTTAAGGGAATAAAAAAAAGTCACGCGGAGCCAAATACGGACTGTAAGAAGAGTGTGACTAGTGTGACGTCCAGGAAGTCCTTTGTGTTGATCGCAGAGTGCGCGGGCGCGTTTGTCGTGGTGAAAAAGGATCCCGCGGAGCCCAGTGTTAGGTCGCTTGTTGCTTATTGCAGAAAAAATTAGCAGGTATTTTGTGCTATACCATTGCGCGTGGATGTTGCTTTGGTCTCGAAGTGGAATGAAATTAGGTACTCCGTCAAAGTGAAGAAACTAGCGATCAAAACTTTATTTATTTTGAAACAGCCAAACTGTCGACTGACGCTTTGTTTCTAGATCATATTGATAAATCTAGGATTCGTCGTAACCTGTCACAATATCGTAATCGCGCCGTGACGAGCCTGCATCAAATTTTTGTATCATATCACTGCACCAATCCACACGGGTCTGTTTCTGAGCTTCGGTGAGGTTGTGCGGCACCCAGCGGCAAACTATTCTCCGTACGCAAAGGTGATCGTGCAAAATCTTGTGAACACTTCCTAAACCAATCTGCAGAGTATACTGAGTCTCTTCGTACGTACTTTGTCTGTTTTCTTGAAATATTTTTTTTATCTGCCAGCACACTTTCTTCGGTGACAGTCGTCGTAGGACGTCCACTCCCCCAAAGTAAGACGATTGAACTCGCTACACCAGCTTAGATGGTTGCTTTTGAAGGTCCTTCAACCATAAAAGCATTTCGAAATCGATCAAATGACTCATCAGGTTTTAAGCCACATTTAAAATCGTAAAAAATCATAGCAAGAAAATGTTCTCGACGCCGATCCATATTTTATGAGACAAGAAAAAAATAATTTGCTCTTGAAAAATGCGGTGGGAAATTTGAAAATCGAACAGTGGTATTTTTACTTTTAAATAGGAGTAATCGAAGTTTTATAATAAGTTAAATAATTACAAGTCGTCAGTGTCTTATACATAAAAACTTTTTTTCGCAAAACATTCTGAGTAGCCTGGTATTAGTTCAATTTTTAATTCCCGCTATAACGTGAGATTGGTTTTTCTCGTCGGCAGATGAAAGAAAATATATTTTGAAGTTATGGAAAAAATAATACTGTACGCATTATCTATAAAGTATATATATGTATACGTCATAACTCGAGAATTTGTTTTTATTATTGCCAAGCCAAACCAAGTTAAAATTATTTAATAATATCAGAAAGTACGCATTACCTACAATAAAAATAACTCTTGAATTAACGCGTTAAGTATATTAAACTCTTTGCTATTTTTGGTATAAGTTTATCATTCTCCTTATGTAATTAAATTTTTAATGACACAACACAACATTGTCTTTCACCGAAATATCGTTATTAACGAATAAGTGGACGGGCAAATAAAAGAGAGCCTTGCAAATAGAAATAAAATATAATACGAACAATTACAAGAACAACAAGAATGACAAGCATGACAAGCAAGAGCAAAATTGAAAGAGACTGGTAATAAAAAGGATGACAAAAAGAATATAATTAAAATGACTATGATTAACCAGCCAGTCGCCAACAATCGTTATTATTTTATTATTAATTTGTTAGTAACTTTATTATTTTAATTAAATTTAATAACCTAATGGGTACTCTTATTTAATTTTCTTATTATTGTATTTAACTTAGTAAAGAATATCTAAAGTATATAGAGGAAGTGTCATTCGATCCTTTTGGCATCATTTTATGCAATAGAAACTTGTGATCGTGTATAGAAGATTAAATTAAGCTAACTGTGACATGATGCTTAATGGAAAGTAAATCTTATATACGTCACTTGCGGTTTGAAATTGTTTGTGTGCAGACACGTAATCCAGTGCTCAGTATTTAGATCATGTTTTGATTAGGTTAACTTATTTTACCTCCTCATTGCATACTTCTAAAGTTGAGTAACGTAATGTTTTCGCTATCACCGTGGGCAGCTGTCTTCAAATGTATTTATTAAGTAATTAAAATTATATTAATCATATTAATGGCAACGTTAATGTCACTGGTTGACTAAAGAAATAATTCCCGTCTGTTGTTTTGGACATTGGTGGCAACCTTAGCCAACCTTAAATCGCTCAATTAATTAATTATAGAATTACCAAAGCACAGTTTCTAACATTTGATTAAACTAAAGGCGTAGATTAAAATTTCCCATCACCATTCCTATGGTGTGAGGTGTTTCACAGGGGTCAGTCCTTGGACCACTCTTGTGGAACATCGGGTACCACTAGGTGATCCAGGCGGCGTTGCTTCCAAAACTAAATGTTATCTGCTATGCAGATGACACATTGGTCATTGCATAAGGGAGCAGCTACAGGGAGGTAAAGAGACAGGCAACGGTTGCGGTCTCGCTAGTGGTGGGCCGAATAAGAGTACTGGGGCTTAGCGTGGCGGTTTCCAAGACGAAGGCAACCATGTTTTACGGGCCGCGCTACAGCCCCCCGGGGCGTGTAATGAAATGGAAGCCGTCTATCAAATATTTGTGACTGCAGCTGGATAGACGTTGGCGTTTCGATGACCACTTCTGGTAACTGGCGCCGAGGTTAGTTGGGACTGCTGCGGCATTTGGCAGACTAATGTCAAATATTGGGGGGCCAAATATAATGTGTAGGAGACTGTACGCAGGAATCATACGCAGTATGGCCCTATATGGAGCACCGGTCTGGGCGGAAGGCTTAAACGCGAAGAACAAAGCACTTCTTCGTAATGCTCAGAAAAGAGTGTCAGTTCAGGTCATACAAGCATACAGAACGGTCTCTTGGGCAGTGGCTTGTGCTCTACCTGGTAACTTGTTGGATCGCTGGAGGAAGAGGGAGCATGGGTCGCTTACCTTTCGGCTGGTGCAGGTGTTGTCTGGGCATGGTTGCTTCGGACAATACCTGCATCGGATACAGAGAGAGGCGACCCCGTCGTGCCACGAGAACGGCGCTGCTGTAGATACAGAGATACAGCACGGCACACCCTTGAGGAGTGTCCGGCGTGGTCCCAGCAGCGCCGTACTCTGGTAGCGGCAGTGGGTAGAGATCTCTCTCTGCAGGGCATAGTAAATGCTACGCTGGGCAGCGACAGTTTCTGGCAGGCTGTGGCCTCTTTCTGCGAGGAGGTCATCTCGCAGAAGCACGCTGCAGAGAGGGTACGCGAGGAGCAAGCTCACGTGGACTCTTTCCGACGTAGGAAGGTGAAGGCAAGGAGAAGGGGGAACCCCCTTCGTCTTCAGGCTCTCCCCGGCAGAGGCCTGCGGGGTTTGGACTTGGGAGGTTCAGATCCTACCTTTCACATATCTTCGATGATGGTTGGGGATCCCCATGATGCTCCAGGGCATCCCCAACACTCCTCTCTTCCGGAGGGAGATGGGTGTGTCCGTTCGACTCAGTTCGTTTTTTAACACAAAGTGTGCATTTTGGAAATAGATATCAATGAATATTTTATACTTCTTTGACTTTACTGAGTGTCGTCGTAACACTGATTTTTAGACTGATAACAAAGCCGAATTCTTTCTTACTTAGATTTATAAAAAAGAGTCGTTTAGTTTCTATTCCTATAGAAATAAAAACCTGTTTTTGTTCCAGATACGCAATTCTCCCAATTGCCTCCCCTGTACGGGTTAGACGATTGGGCGCAGTGCCAGCAGCCGGATGACGTGTGGTGCATGGTTGACGCCGCATTGCATGCGGAAGGACCCTCGCCTGCACTGGAGTTGCTGCAGGTGAATAAAACAATAGATTTTTTAAGGAGGTCAGCAGCGAGAATCAATTAGATATTTATAGGTACTTCCAGGGCCCAAGAGGTGATACTCGAACTTTTTTGTAGAAAAGGTCTCTTAATTTTTTTTTCTGGCGCTTCGTCGGCCTCTGCCACGGCACGCTCGCTTCGCTCGCTCGGCTCGCGCGTTATGGTCACAATACTAACCTAACCTAGTGTGAAGTGTTACCACTTGGGCCCTGGAAGTACAGTTTAGCCTGTATTTGTATATATATATATATACTTATAATGTATCAGTTTATCTATTTAATCCGTTCTAGTATCCCATAACACCAGCCTACAGTGGTTACTTTGGAATTAGGCCAATTGGTGTGAGTGTTCAAAATACTTATTTTATTTGTTTAATACAAAATATCCACAGCCGCTATTAAGTTTGAATCGCATTACCTATAATGACCTATCGTCGCTCATTATTTCCACCAGACAACCAACCAGCAATGCCTTGTCTCGCCTCGCTGATGTGTTTTGGTTACCCATGTTATGATCGGCCATTGCAAAAGTTGCTTAACTTCTACAAACGCCATTGAGCTTCACAAATAATACAATTATTGTAACATATTATTTCTAGTAAACTTTTCTTTAGATTTAAACAACTAGCAGTTTTAAATTCTTAAAAAATTCAAACAAATATTTTGAATTTTCGAAAATAATGATTTATTGAATTTTGACGTTCAGGATCCACAGGCGGCTGCGGCCGACCCATATTGGTCACTCGCTTAAATGCAAGCGAATAGAATTGACCGTCACCCAGCCTCAGCCGCAGGCCACGTCTGTCTGTGAGTCACAGGCTTTTCCTCCAGTATATTTTCATATATGAGAAAAATCACATTAATATTATAAAGATGAAACTTTGTGAGTGTGTATCATCATCATCATCATCAGCCTATTAATGTCCCCACTGCTGGGGCACAGGCCTTCCCTATGGATGGAATAGAGAGTGTGATGGTGTGTTACTTATTCACGTCTAAACGGATGGAGCGATTTTAATAAAATTTGGTATGGAGTTAGCTGACACCCTGGATTAACACATAGGCTACTTACTTTTACTACGGGAAAATATCCATAATAAACCGCGTATAACAGCTAGCACAGCTAGTACACATAAATAAATAAAATAAATAAATATTTCCAACACTCACACCAATTAGCCTAGCCCCAAAGTAAGCACTGTAAGGCTTGTGTTATGGGATGTTAGGGTAAAGATAAAATATATACTGTACATATATAAGTATATTTATCAGAAATACATTTTAAACATCCATGACTGGAGCACAAATGCTCGTGTTCATCACACAAACTTCTGCTCCTACCGGGATTCGAACCCGGGATCTCTCGAGTCGGCGACACAATGAAACCCGGCGTACAAACCACTCGGCCACGGAGGTCGTCAACATAATTTACTTACTGTTTGTGTACACAGTAACAAACAATATTTCCCTTGACTCCTACGATGAACTTTGAAGGTGTACCGCATCATAATTCTCACCTTCAATATAATAATGTATTTTCTCATCTCATCATTGAGTAGTTTATTTGTTTCGACATCATTAAAAGCCATTACTCCAACTGCATAAAGTTATTACACATAACACCGATAACTTATGCCTAGTTAGGTAAACAGTAATGTAACTAAGGTATTTTATTTTAGCTCTTCCAATACTCTGAGTGCCCAGAGAGGTCATAACTGCCAATTGTAAACTCAGCCAACACATGGGTCGAGCCTAGCTCCCTCAATACAAGTTGTCTTGTCAACTTAGTAAGGTAGCTAGTGTTTCAATAACTTGAGCTCCTGTTAGTGATAATTGGATAGCAACCAAATGTACCTCAATTTGTAAAAAAATATTTATTAATTAACTTTAATGCTTCATTGAGTCACGTGTTGGTATCGTAAAGCTGACAGCATAAACTTTGAAACTGAAAAACTTTTTTTGTAGTCTTGTAATGTCGACCATTGATTTTTGATAGCTTCATAATCGTATCGCATGTCGAAGTTTCTATAAAAAAATAAATATTTCCAACACTCATACCAATTAGCCGAGCCCCAAAGTAAGTACTGTAAGGCTTGTGTTATGAGATACTAAGGTAACGGATAGAATACATATACCAGATAGTACAAAGAATATTTATATAGAAATACATATTAAACATACATACTGAAATACATACTGAAGTACAAATGCTCGTATTCATCACATAAACATCTGCCCCCACCGGGATTCGAACCCGGGACTTCTCGAGTCGGCGACACCATGAAACCCGGCGTACATTCAGTATAAAAAACGTCTATGAAAACAGAATAATTTTATGAATACAGATACGAAGAAATAGCAATCCATTTTTAATTCATTAGAATGCGGATGCAATACATTACTATTTAGAGTTGCACCACTAAATATATTTATAGTAAGTCAGGGTCGTGTCTATTTAAATAATTCTTCACATTTAACCAATCATTCGTAATCCGCTTAGGAGTTCAATTTATACAACACACTTAAACAGTGCTTGAAACACGTAAAAAAACATTTACATGAAATGTTATTACGCGAGAAAAGGGATAAAAACTTTTTTAAAGCATTTTTTGAACGAGTATTAATTGCATTTTTTTTCTTTAAAGTACCCCTAGCCCGAACCATAATCGAATTCGAATAGTTTGCAAACCGAAATGTCAATGTCAAATTTTGTATGAAAACTTGAACAGCAGCGCCACAAAGTACGTAACGGGAACTAAAAATCTTGACAATGACATTTCTGACTTGCAAACGATACGAATTCGACATTGGTTCGTGCTCGTTTCGGACCCTTTTAAGCTTTATGGTGGCCGCAAATAGCGCGCACTTTTTGTCGAAATAAAAAGTGTTTTACTGAATGATTGGACATTCGAAATGAATAAGGGATAGGAACAACAAAATAAAGAAAGTATTTTCTAGAAAAAGTTCCACTGAATGTTCAGACAGGATTAGGTTAGGACAGAAGGAGGACAGAACGAATGGAATTCTATCCAGTAAATGTTTTCTTTAGATTAAATAAAACTAGCAATCGAATGATTAAAAATACAGTAGGACCCGTTTAATACGATCACGCTTAATACAATTTCTCGCATAATACACCATTTTGCGTCAGTCCCTGCAACTAGAGACATGTTTTCATACATTTCTTAACGTTTAATACGATTCGTCATCCCGTTTAATACGCCCCAATCCCCACGTACCACAAATATAACCTCTTGATAACACACAAGAAGAGGCCCTAAGTGATCATGCTGCCGCTATATAACTTCTTTGAATGAAAAGGAAGATAACTGCAAAAGTTAAATTACGTTAAAATCTTGTAATTGCTAATGCCTTAAAATCTTTTTTCAAACTAAAATAAGTGATTATTTTAAATACCGTAATAAAAATACACATTTTTTTATAATTCTTAAATATTGTACATTTAATATTTCAATACTTACATTCGAAATAATAATAGAATATGATAATTATTAATATTGCACGTTTTCTTCCCTATCCCGCATAATACGCTTTCCCGCTTAAGACGCGTTTTTGGTTGAGTCCCTGTGAAATCGTCTTAAACGGGTTTTACTGTATATAATAAATAACTAACGTCAAAACTCTAAATTATACATAACCCAAAGTTTCTTTAAAATTTATAAAAAAAAATAAACTCTTAGAATGAAACGAGTGCATTATTATTTACATAAACTGTTACGTTACTTCTTAATAAGTTCACAACATATTGCACGGAGTCCAAATAAAATTGGGAACATTGCAGGCGAATGATGGTTGTTGAGACAATACAAAACATTTATCGTGGCAATAGTTTGCTCAGAGTTTAAGGTAGGGGGCCAAGATTGCACTAGAGTTACATCAAGAGCGACCTTCGCATAGGAACCGGTCTCTGATTGCAAACAAATGTCATAACCGCCAGATTCCATTTGTTAAAATCGTTAAAATATCAGTGCATACATAAATTTTTATAGTCAACTAAACCACCTTTAAATTATTAAGTAACCTTTGAAATAGATAACTATTTTTAAATTAAGAGTATTTGAAGAACTGGTTATTTCGAAATAGAATCGCTTTGACTATAAATAGTGATTGTAATGCAGCTGTCTATTTAATTAGATTGTACTAGCAAACCAGTGAACCAAATGTTCACCAAAACCTGATTTAAAAAAAAAAAAATTTAGAACTTCGGAGATTTTGTGTGGTTTCGTTTGAAATTCGTGATTTCTCGAAAACCGGAAGTGCTACGTTACTCAAATCCGGTTTGTAGTCTTATCAGACTATTCTTAACTTATAACTTAAATATTCTCTTTATCTATCACTTACGGTTTGGCCGCTGAAACAGCACCACAGACGGACGGACGGACTTGTCTAATAGATAAGAGATTAGCACCTTTAGGAGAACTATAGGGTATAGCGGGTTTTCCGCTTGCGTTGGAGCTCCCGTCTGGGGAAGTTACCCCTAGCTTACTGAAGATGGCAGTAAAATAACACTAGCTTTTGGTGGCGTTACGTTTCTGTTGATAAATAAGATTCCAGGGCTCCACGGGGTACCCCGGCTAGGCTGCTAGGTGCGGAGACACGGAAGAATCCCTAAACGGGGATCCCGCGGCTTCGCGCTAAGCAGCTTAGAGGGTATTCGCAGGGGTTTTTAGCGGATATTATGCCGTAAAGCGCCCGTAAGGGTTACGGGGTCCTCAGTGGGCAGCCACTGCTGGGGCTCGTAAGGCTTGCGGGAGCCAGCTGTGAGGTCCGTTCGGCAGTGTGCCTCTTAAAGGCCGGCGTTTGTAAATAGTATTCTTTGCCTGCGTATAAAAAAAGGGCTCCACGAGGTAGGGGATTGGCGCTAATTTTTGGTATCGTAAGCGTCTATAGCTATGGTGGCAGCTTACCATCAGGCGGGACATACGCTTGTTCGCCATCTTTTTATCATAAAAAA